GGCCCCCGAGGGAGGGACCGCTCTCGCGCGCACACACACACACACACACACACACACACGCACACCCCCTCGTGCCTTCCTCCCCACCCCTCCAGCCAGCTGTCGGCCCCCCGAAAGGCGAGTGGCCCCGGCCCCGCCGCGCCGACTACTCACCGAACACAACACGGGCGTCTTCTAAGAAGCAGGACACGCGGAGGCGGGAGGCCAGCTGCAAAAGCTCGAGCCCCGGGACGAGGCCTAAGCCGCGAGCATCCCAAAGCCAGGGGCTGCCCGGGGACAAAATGGGAGGCGCGGCTGCGGGTGTCGCGCTGGCGACGCTGGCCGCGTGCAGACAAGAGGGTCTGCTCCTCGCGCTGGCCGCCCTAGGGCAGCGGCGGCTCCGGCCGCCTCCTGCTCCCTCTCCGCCGGCCCGGCGGCGGCCCTCTTCCCCCTTCTCCCCTCGGGCTGGGGCGCTCTCTGAGCTCAGACAAGCTCCGGGCGGTGCGTTTCTCCTGCGTCACCTCCTCCTGCTCCTCCTCCTGCAGCGGCAGTTTCACCTTCCCCTAGTCGCCGCCTCTGTCCCCCCACTCCGGGCCTGGTCGCCGAGCTGCGGCTCCACTCCTCACTGCCGTCACCGACCCCAAGTCCCGGGGCGCTAAAGGCAGCCGCCTCCCGTTAGGGAGAGGCGGCGTCGGCCGGCTCCCGCGAGGCCGGGGAGCCGGTGCAAGGCAGGGAGGGGGTTCGGTGGGACAGACGAGGGCCCGGACGGGCCGGCTACCGAGAGGTTGCGGCTCCGCCACCGGCGGAGACTAGCGTCCGCAGCCTTGGCTACCACGGCCTCGTCAATATGGCGGATCCAACAAAATCAAAACCGAAAAAAGAGACAGAAAAAAAAAAAAACCCGCACGGCCAGTGGCAGTGGCGGCGGCGGCGACGGCAGCGGCGGCAGCAACAGCGGCGGCGGCGGCGGCGCAGACTCCCACTAGTCCCAGCGCCGCCCAAGCCTCGGAGCTTCTCCGCCCCCCGGCAGGGCCCGCCCCTTCGAAGTCCCGCCCCTCCGCGCTCGGCCCGCCCCTCCCCTGCCCAGCCCCCGCTCGGCCAGCTGCCCCCTTGCCTCTCGGTCCACCACGGGGCGGTGGGGGAGCCGGAGGATCCCCGTGCGCCGCTAGGGGGCGGGACAAGGCGATGGACGCCTGGGCCTCGGCAAGCTGGGTGGGGGAGGGGAGGACAATGCCGGGGAGGGATTGTTCGCCGTCGCCAGGCTTCCGGACGGCCCCTCTAGGGGGGTCATGGCAGGGCCAGGGGCTCTTTCATACCGTTCAGCGAGGGGACCCGGCCGAGAGCTGACAGCGGCCGCAGAAAGCGCTAGAAAAGAGGTGGGGGAAGGGAAGGACGCCGGAGATCTGGCGTACGGTGCGGGCGAAGGGACTGGACTGGCGGGGATGTGGACAGGAGGGGGTTAAGCACTGGAGCTGCGGCCGCGTCGCCTAGTTTGACTAGGGGCTGCTTGTTTTTGTTCCATTGTGAACCGTGGCCCCGCCACCCAGTGCCCGGATGATGACATCACCAGCCTCCCCCTTTTCCGGGATGGTTGGGGAAGAGGGACCGAAAAATGAGATTCCTGGGTCCCAGTGCTAGGCGAACGCAGCCACCTGGTAAAGAAGGTCCTGACTTCGCAGCTGACCCACATCACGTGATACACGAGGACGGGCCAGGCCACAGAGCAGGGGTGCCAGGTCCCGAGGGTTTGGCCACCTGCTCCCTGCCGATAGGAGGAAGGTGTGGCCAGAACCCCTTCAGAGTAGGGGCCTCCTTCCCACTCTGGGAGGGAGGCGCTTTAAGCCGCTCATTCACACGGTCCTGCAGCATCAGTACCTGAAAGCATTTCGTCAGCCTTAAAGGCACACTGACTGGGAACGAGGGCATTTGGACACAGGCTCCTTAAAACATTAAAGACAAAAATTGTACATCGTACCCGACAGCATACCTACTCGGTACATTAAATGTAGCAAAATGAACTTAGATTGCCACACTAACACCATTCAATTTGAGAACCCGGAAGGGACTTAAGAACCCATCCGCTACGTCAGGGACTATTTTCTGCATATTGAGAATTCAAAGTGCAGGCTGCAGAGGAAAAATTTATCAGGGCAATCTCAAACGGAGGGAAGGGGGGTTTGAAATAATTCTATGGTTTACCTAAAATGCACAAATGAAGAGGAAATAAATACAATTACTGAACTATCTCACATTTCATTTCGACTTAAAAATGCCTGTGGGCAGCAACTCCAATGTAAAATCTTAACAAAATCCTGTAAAATATTTTGTTGTATAGGATTTTCTAATAAAGAAGTGTTTTAAATGGAGTCCCAAAGAAAGTACGTCCCTGTGTAATTTTTAAACCATTTCTCTATGCAACACATGACTATAAAGTCTTAACTACAAAAACTAATAGTGTGCCCCCAACACATAATTTATAGTCCTTATAACTCTTCACATGTGCAATATTGTTTGTATAAAATTAATACATGTAATAAAACTAATACATGATTTTAGTAAGACTGAGGCTAGAGATCTGTCTACCTCCCCCAATCCTCTAAAAAAAATACTATCACATTATACCCTATGAACATTTATGATTACTATGTGTCAATTTAAAATAATAACAAAGTAAAAAGGCAAACTACAGAATGTTTTAAAAGATCTCTGTAAATCATTAATATGGAATTAAAATTCACAATATATATAAAAAACTTCAGCTCTACACAACCCTTCAATATAAAAAATAAGCAAAAGGGGATGTCGGGATGTCTCTGGAGGTAAAAGTGCTTGCTGTCAAGCCAAACAACCTGAGTTTGATCCTTGGAACCCACATGGTGGAAGGAGTCAATAGTCTCCTGCAAGTTGTCCTCTGATCTCTTACTTGCATATGCTCGAGCCTTTGAACCTAACATACAATAACGAACACATTCCCCCCCCCTCTCTCTCTCTCACACACACACACACACACACACACACACACACAATTTTAAAATTGTAAAAATAAGCAAAGAAAACTGGGTGTAAAAAAGCCATTGCCTGTAATCCCAGCACTCTGAAGGCAGAGGCAGTCAAAAGAATCTTCAGTTTGAGTTCAGCCTGGGCTATATAGTCAGGCTCTATCTCGAAAAATAATAATATTAAAATTTAAAAATAAAAATAAGCAAAAGTAGCCGGGCAGTGGTGGTGGTGCACACCTTTAATCCCAGCACTCGGGAGGCAGAGGCAGGCAGATCTCTGTGAGTTCGAGGCCAGCCTGGGCTGCAGAGTGAGTTCCAGGAAAGGCGCAAAGCTACACAGAAAAAAACCTGTCTCAAAAAAGAAAAAAGAAAAGAAAAAGGAAATAGGCAAAGGATTTGAACTTATTCAACTTATTCATCAAATATATGAATGGCCAATAAATACATGAAAAAAATACTTAACATCACCATTCACTAGAGAAATGAAATTAAAGCCATATGAGATAACATTTCATAGTCATTAGAAAGACTATTACAGAAAATGCAAGGAGATAACAAGTGTAAACCCAGATGCAGAGAAATTGAAATTCTACCTTGCTGGTGGAAAACTAAAATGGTGCAGCTGCTACTGAAAGCAATAGGGGCTGGTCCTCAAAAAGATAAACATTACCATAAGACCCAGCCAAAGCCTAAAGAATTGAAAGCAGGAATTCCCTGCTGGGTTCCACCATCCTGAATGCTTAAGGAAAGTGCCTTGTCTGTGTATCCTGCATAATGGGCGTTAACAGCTTAGATGCAAGATTGTAAAACATCCTTAGCGAATTTCTGCCCTCCGGGGGGTTCTCCCATTGTGCTGTAAGCCGGTATTTAAGACCTCTTCCCTCCTTCAATAAACAACATTTGGCATTAAATAAAAAATAAATCAATAAAAATAAAAAATAAAAAATAATTTAAAAAAAGAATTGTACACCAACATTCATAGCAGCATTAGTCACAATAGCCAAAATATGGAAATGACCCAAATATTGAGCAGATGAATGGATAAAATGTGGTAGACATACACAAAAAGGAATGAGACTCTTGGTAGACACTAGAACACGTATGAACCTGGGAACCTTCTAAGTAAAATAAGCCAGACACAGAAGCTCCCATATGATTTCCCTTCTGTGTGATACCTAGAGTGGACAAATTCATAGAGATAAAGTAGAATAGAGGATGCTGAATCTGGAAGGGTGAGGAGGATGGGAGGTATGGTTTAAGGGACACAGGATTTCTATGGAGATGACAAAGTTTGGGCAGTGGGAAATGGTGATGGTTGTACAATACTGCTAATGTACTTAATACCACAGAACAATGGTAAATGCTATGTGTGTTTTACTATGAATTTTTTGAGGGTAAAAGCTCAATAATGCTTAGTAAAGTGAGGCTCCAGAGTCAATCCTCAGCGCTCTCCCACCCCCATGCAAAGAGGAAACAACTCCAAATACTGGTAATTGCCTATGGGAATCGCTTGCTCGCTGTATTACTCCCTTACCAGCAGTTCCAGTTGAACTCTTCTCCGGCAACTCTCCAGGGCTGAGTGTGCGTACACCTGGCTCCCAGGGTGGGTGTGGCTACAGGACTGCCCACTTAGACATCTTCCCTCCAGTTCACGGGACAGGAAATGAACAGTGCTGGGTTAAGAGAGTCAATTCAACACCACAGCACGACTGGGATGAAAACACTGGAGTCCAGCCCTTCTCACTTCCTTTGTTTTGGTTTCTCTTTTCTAACAGTTGTCCTTTCAGGCTGAAGACTGTAATTTTTTTTAACTTCCTGGTTCTTTGCTATCAAAACAGAAGCTTACTATATTTCATTTCCTCATAAAATTTCCTATTGCACTCTGTCTCCTCTCCACTCTACCCCCAAAATATTTGCTAAGTATATTTACTGCTTAGTAGCATACATCTTAAAATATAGGATTTACTGAGGACAAATTTCAAAGAAGTTCTGTAGGCGAGGAGTTAAATGCCTCTCCCTAGAACAGTTAGAAAGCCAACAGTGGTGGTGCACGCCTTTAATCCCAGCACTGGAAGGCAGAGACAGGAGGACCTCTGAGAGTTCAAGGCCAGTCTGGTCTACAGAGTGAGTTCCAGAACAGCCAAGACTACACAAAGAGACCTTGTCTCTAAAAAAAAAAAAAAAAAAAAAAAAGAAAAAAGAAAAACAAGATGGAAATTTCTTCTAAAATTAAACACTGTTGGTGCTTCTCTGAAACTAATCTATTTCCTGTCAAGGACTTGGATACAAAGTCCAGCAAGGACACCAAGAATAACATGGGCTTTGGATCCT